CGAAGGCAGCTGATGACTGTCAGACGGCCCTGGCCCCCTCTCTGCCTCCGACACAGAGCCTTCACCAGACTCCAGGACTGGCCGGGGTTCCTCCCCAATTGTCCATATCTTCTGGCAGGCCACAGCAATAGCATTTCAGATTGTCCAATAGCTTATTGAAAGCCTCCAGTGTTGGTGCACCCACAACATCTGGTGGCAGCTGCTCTACTGATTAATTGTTCTCACTGCTGGAAATTCCTCCTTAGTTCCAGTTGCTTCTCTCCTTGATTAGTTTCCTTCCTTTGCTTCTTGTCCTGCCCTCAGGTCCTTTGGAGAACAGGTTGCCCCTCCTCTTCTTTGGGGCAGCCCCTCAAATATTGAGACAATGCTGTCATGTCAGCCTTAGTTCAAAAGACCACGGGTAGAGACTCATCTGAGCCTCATTCAGGGGTCCCCAATCCTCCCCCTCTCCCACAATGGGCCAATCAAGGCCCTGGCGGAAGGGAGGTTGAGCCTACCTTGGCAGCCCTGGGCAGAGAATCCAAAGAACTCGTCCTGGCACCGATGGCACGATAGCCCTGTGACGCCAGGGTGGCAGGTGCATTGCCCTGTGACGGGGTGGCAGATGTTGCTCTGGGCTCCCACTGGGTGGCACTGGCAACTTGGGAGCAAGAGAGACATAAGAAGGCAAGTTTTGTTTAATGTAGTCTGATTCTCCTCGGATGGGAACATCCCCAGGGCCCAAGTGTCACCTGGAACTGCTTTCCTTAACTGGGCAATTTTAAGAGGTGTGGACTTCAACTCCCAGAATCCCCCAGGCAGTAAGTTTGGGTTCAACTCTCGGAATCCTCCATTCTGCATGCTGGCTGGAGAATCCTGGGAGTTGAAGTCCACTCATCTTAAAGTTGCTAAGGTTGAAAACTCTGGAGAACCAAGTCATAATCCCAATGCATGAAAAACCACCCCTTGGAAGGAAGGAAGCCGGGTTACGTCTCCCTCTTCTGCCTTCTCTGGAACCTTCTTCCCCCTCTCAATCCCACCCCTGTTACCTTCTGCACCCCACCCCTGGCTGTAGGTCAAAATAGCCTTCCAGGCACTGGGTACACTCTCGCCCGGTTACATTGGGAAGGCAGCGGCACTGTCCAGAAACCGGATCACAGGTTTTGGGCCCGTGAGTGGAGCCATCGGGGTTACAGCTGCAGGCTGGGAAGAAAGCGATAGAGAGAGAGAGAGAAAGAATGTGTGAGAGGAGAAGGAACGGCATGATGCTGAAATGCAAAACTGGCTTAATAAAAACACCCTGCATACTTCAATCAGAATAAAGCTGAAAGGGACCCTGGAGGTCTTCTAGTCCAACCCCCTGCTCAAGCAGTAGTCCCCATACCATCCCCGAACAAAGGGTCATACAATTTCTTCTTAATAGCCTCCAGTGATGGAGCACCCACAATAGCAATAGCAATAGCAGTTAGACTTATATACCGCTTCATGGGGCTTTCAGCCCTCTCTAAGCGGTTTACAGAGTCAGCATATCGCCCCCAACAACAATCCGGGTCCTCAACCTCTGTACGTGAGCCATTCCATTGATTAAAAGTTACTTAACCATTGCCTGGCTTAGCAACGGAGATTCTGGGGTCAATCGTGGTCATAGGTTGAGGACTACCTGTATAAGAAGAGAAGAAACTATGGGAACTCAGCAAGGAGAGGAGCAACCTAGAACTCCCTTCCTGACAGTCAGAAGAATCAACCAGAGGAAGAGAAGTTGCCTCCGGAAGTTGTGGGA